AAACCAACAGATATTGTTTTCTTCTTTGTTTTGCATGATTTGTCACTTGAATATCAGTTTTGGACTGTTCATTAAAAAGTGTAACCGTTGCCTCGAGGAAAAGTAAAGTTAGCTGCAGTCCCATAATAATAGGATTTCCAATAACGAGTTAAGCAAGCACTTAAGTTTATCACCAGAAACTATGACTGCTGAGAAAACACGACTTGTTGACTTCCGTGTTGACTTCTCTCATGTAACGGTGACACAGTGACTTGCCCCAGATAACACAAATCAGGGTGAAGCAACTCAAACACGCAGACAAGATGGTTAAAAGGAGACAAGAGAAAGACAGACGTAGTGAATGTCAGAGGGGATGTGAGACAGATAGACGGCCTGATAAGATAAAATAACAAACAGAGGTTTTATATAGTTATAGGCTTAAATCTGTCTCTTACTCACACATGCACACACCAAAAATATCAAAGAGTCCTAATTAAGCTGCACCGCATTCAAACTTATTATCCTCCACATCATTAACATTCTCCATCACAAGCTTGGTACTTTATCTAAGAGGGAGCAGGCAATCATGAAATATTCATGATTTATTAATCTGACTACAGAAAAACAAACAATGGCAACCCGGGGAGTGTGACACCCTCTCCTGCCAAACAGCGAGGGTAGCAACATGACTGTGTTAGCCGCTCGCTCGGCACTCCAAATCTCCAACAGGAGTCCACTATCAGGCGCCGCCGCCACCGCCGTGCTGGCATACAGGTGCATGCCGGTTATTCCCACTCATAATAGTGTTTTACTGAGATAAGGTGGAGAGGAAGGGTTGCTGGTTTTCTTCACTTGGCCCAGATCAGCTTCTGCCTCTCATTCAGTGGCGTCGTGTCAACAAAATGTCAAGAGCAGCGTCGTCATTAAGAAAAGAGACAGGGAAATGGAAATGTGGCATGGAGCCATTTCGAGCCAAATCACATCAGTGTTTCCATGTAGTTATGATTGGGGGGGGCAGGGAAGGAGAAAAGTAAAAAAGCTTAAGGGAGGGACGGTAAAACAGAGGAATGCAAAAGAAAAAAGGGAGGATGAGGGCTGACGTTCCTGCCCCCTTTTTTCTCCCATTCAGCCACTCACGCTTCTGAGGGAATTTTCTCAAGTGGGGAAAATTTCTGCTGATGATACAGTTGTGAAAATGAAAACGCCGCAGCGCTTGGTTGATGTTACTGTCATTGACTCCTAATGGGGAAAAAAAATCCCACTACACGCGCAATTTTCTGGACCCTCAATTTCTTTCATCCCAACTCACGCAGCACACTCCGACATACCCCGCGCACTATTATCACTAAATCTCACACCCACTTGCTCTTCTTCTTCTCCTCCTCCCACAGACAGACAGACACACAGACAGACAGACAGACACACTGTCAGACATGTGCAAAAAACAAAAGACACAAGAGTTTTCTGTATCTCCTCTCGACTTTCTCATTCTCTTAATCTCTCCCTCTATTGGCGTTTCGTTTCCCTTCCTCTCTCCCTTTCGGTTTTCAAGTCCCCTGGGTGACCTTGAGCGGCAGCTGCCAGTGAAGTAGCTAAAGTGCAAAGTCAATACGAGCCAACAAAGCTGGTTAAGTATTAAATGGGGGATGATGACGCTGCTGTTAGTCAGAGAACGGCTTAACAAAGAGAAAATAAAAGGAATATGTGCAGTCGGACTTTAATGGAACACTCAATAGGAATAATGATGTACTTTAAGCAATTGACTTGTGATATTAGAAGAGACTGTACTTTTGATTTTCGCAGGATAATTTGCTTGCCACTGGGATAGGGAGCACTTACAGTAGTCACATGCTGGGTTTAATGTTGGGCTACATAAACTGAGTAAGTATGCCATTTTATATCGAAAAATGGCGTGTAGGGCAAATCAGAATGACCTTTTAGTCCTCTGTAGGCGACATAATACAATGAAAAATCCATACCTAAAATGATTTATTAGTGAAACAGGAAGTACAGTTTGCCCGACTTCCTATTTAAGAGAAACAAGAACTATATTTCCAACTAATCTTGCAGAGTTAGAAACAGAAAATTGTTCACATCTACTAAAAAATATGTCACCGAAGGAGGTTTAGTCACCACAAGGCATAGCATTACAGCAAAATCCAACCTAACGTGAAATTCCCCAATTGTCAAGTCTGTAATAGCCTTTCACTGTCCTCTCCCAGGATCATTGTCAGAAAGCCCTGAAAACTCTGTGGATAATGTAGCACTGAATGGCTCCTTTCATCAGTGCTTGGCCATAGAAGTGGACCAGAGCTACTCCAATTGAAAGCTATTGCAGCTAAGAAAATCAATTGAATAAATGTGAGGAGCGTGCGTGGTGTGTGTGGGTGGGAGCTGGTTCAGGTACCTAAACGCTGGCTTACAGGCTGCCCTCTTGCTGCTGTATTCCTTTGTAGAGCAGCATTCCTTGGGAAGGCAACGGGGTCAAAGGTCAGGAGGCAAAGATGAACATGGATGTAGTTGTAATAGCTCTGCAGCACCAGCCACAGCACTGTGTGTAGGAACGTATCTGTGTGTGGGGGCGTGTGTTTGTGGTCTGCGGATGTATTGCAATATTGATTGCGAACAACTGCAGGCCAGAGCCTACTGCATCCCAAAGTATGTGTCTGGCTACATTCGAAGAGCATCCAGGTATGTACATATACTGTACAGCCAGTCGGCCTGCCTTGGCAGTGCTCCCTCCTCAACAGCTGCTCTGACACGTGTGTGCATTCCTGAGTCTGCACCACAGCGTCCCAGCAAGGCATCGCCTGTCCGCCCTCCGCCTGTGGAAATGGAGCGCTAACACCGGCCGGCCACATACAGATCCGTTTACCTGAGAGAGCTACGTCAGGGGTTTTTGTAAAGCGCAGGCCTGCACCCAAAGGGGCTTAAATTAGATTAAAATGAAAGGCATCTATTTGATTAAATTTAAACAGGCTGCTAAACCATGACAGGGGGGAAAAAATGCTTGAAATGTATTGGTTACACTGTGTTGCCAAATGCCGAAGCAGGCTATTAATCAAGACGCAGATTATAAGCAGCAAAATCAAGAAAAGTCAACTTGCAAATGGTTCACGTGGTTCAAGTGTGAAAATCACAGAGATGCACATTATCACAAGCAAAAGCAAAAACTGCAAGCTAAACACTGCAAAAGTGTTGTGTAAAAAATTTAATTGGATTTGCTGAGTTTTAGCGGGGACAGAAATCAAATGCAGTATCGACGCTGGAAATGAAATGACTAACAGGCAGGGGTATTGATCAAAATAAATCAAGCGTGAAACACTCTACAGTGGAAAGAGTGGGCAGTGAGAGCTCTGGGTTGCTCGATGTGATCAGCTCTGTCAATCAGCTGATTATGGTACAGAGATATCCTCTGAAAGAGAGGCTACCTCTGGGAAAACAAGGCCGGATCCGTAGGGAAACAGGGCCATGAGCAGAGCGGAGAAGAGGTGGGCTGTCCAGAGACGACTGGAATGTCAGATAATGGATGACATCTCTCTCTCCAGGTGACACCGAGCCCAAGGCATCCGGGGAGACGGAGAGGGAGAGAATGAGAGTGTTTGAGGGGAAAAAAGGATGACGAATGGATAGACAAGTGCATGCTTGTGAAGTTTTTTTTAGAGCTCCTCATTTTCTTTTTTTTTTCTTTTTACGTTATCAGTTTGGATTTTTTTTTGAGTTCATGTCAAGTTCAAGGAGAGCCACTTCCTCTCTCAACCCAAGGTGTATTTGGTTAATAAAAAAAACTTTCTTATCTTCCTCCACAGCTCCTTTCTCTGTCTTTCTGATTGATCAAATGGAAATATGTGTGGGTTAACTTTACATATGTTCCCCATCTGTCCTTTCTCTTAACCTTCACACGTACAGGTACATACACACCCACCAGGAACAATGTCGACAAGTGCTGTTATCACATGCCTGAGTTTATCCAGGCTTCACAAAGGCACAGGTTGATAAATGTAGATCAAACCGATGTCACTCACAGACAAGTGAACCTGACAGTGGAGTTCACTACGTAATCCAGCTATGTAAACATCAGACACCACCTCCTATATTACAAACATACCAAGCATTCAAGTACAGCTGTTGATCCCAAGGGGGAATCATTAATTACCACTTTGACAAAACTGAGACCTCCAAAATTAGATGTAATCAACTGTCCCTGGGGGCTAAGTGGAAAATATGATACTAACTTCTGGAAATGAAGGTGATAATTAACCCATTATGACTGATTTATTTGCAGTAAATCACCTCATAATTCAACCAAACTTGATTCACACCACAGCCTGCGTAAACTACACTGCATGCTCCTTTAACATGGAAGCAGTGTAATACTGATACTAATTTCAGAACAAACAAAAAAACTCCCACCGTCGACTCTCACTTAATAGTATGTAAGTACAGGGTGCAAATCAAACGTGTCCGTGCATATCCTGGTGAAGGCAGCAGTGCTCCCATAGAGTGGAGATGGAAGGTGGTGAATTCCTTCATAGCGAAAAAGGAGGGGGGATGTCCAGGGAGCTAATAGACTGGCTGGAGAGCTTTTACTTCATGCTTGAAAGGGAGCAAGGAGGTGGGGTGGCAGGGTAAAACCCAGTCATGTACTGGGGGACAAATAATAATGTTGGGTTAACTGTGACCTGCAGTTCATGACTATAGACAATAGTCTATAAACTATATTCTACATGCAAGAGAGGGACGCCAATTTATATTCTCTGTAACTGGTTAACAGCTATTTTCAGTTAAGGGCACAGTGCAAGTGAAACAAACAAAACACACACACACACACACACACACACACACACACACACACACACACACACAGTGCGCCAAAGCGTGAGAATCCTGGAGGATGCGCCTGGTGCTCTGTTTTTGGCTGTGGGTGACAGCTCCCATGCGCACGGATTTCCTGCGTTAAAAAGTCTATGAAGATTAAAAGGGAAACACTTGCAGCCCCCCCCCCAGTCACTGTAACTTACTTGTCATACTCCGCGTTGTCCTTATCACAGCGTGCGTCCTTGTGCTTCTGCCAGTCTTTGCCGTGCTTGCAGGTGGTGAGCAGCACCACGTCCTCCGCGTTGTGGACGTGGTGTAAGGCATTCCTGGTGTCCGAGCCGATACCCGTCAGGTAGCGCTTCCCCTTGAACACCAGCATGTATTTTCTAAAAGGCGGGATGGAGTTGTACTTAAGGTACCCCCTCTCCCCGCCGGTCCTCGGGTGCTCTTTGGAGAAGAGGGGGATGGACACGTCGAAGTTGGGCCTGAAGTTCTCGGTGCTGATGCTGGCTTTGGCCAACATGGCCTGACCGATGTCAAAGCCCAAGTCTTCCGTATAGTCCGGCCACGTCCCCGAGTACAAGTTAAATATGAGGTGGTTCCTGCCGTCGTTCCACAGAGGCAGGTTCTGGACCTTGGTCTTCAGGTTGTGGACGTATTGCGGGGACAGCTGGTCCCGGTCCAGAGTGTCCAGACTCAGGATGAACAGACACGCCTGTCCGGGGTCTGAGGTGTAAAACCTGGACCCCTCAATGGTCGCTAAAATATTCTGATAACTCTCGGAGATCTTCTCCCCCTTCTGCTGCGGGTAAACATAAACTTTGAATCCGTTCTTTTGACACAGAGAGAAATCAAAGCATGAATCCATGCGGCACCGCTTGCCTTTGTAAACACTCGTGTTGACGTCCCTCTTCTGCCTCGGAGATATGTGCAGGTTGTACTCCTCGGTGTCCGTCTGATCCCAGGGCAGGAAAAGGTGTAAAGGATCCGAGAAGTGAGGCCAGGGCTGGTCGGGCCGGTACCCGTTCCGGCTGCGGTCATGCCGGCTCCTGCTCGCCGCTGGAAGTTGAACCCCTCCGAGGTAGAAGAGAAGCACCAGACATGCACCGGCGGAGAGCAGGATCAGGTAGCGTTTTTTGGCCTGCATGTGTCCTGGGAACAGGGGCGAGTTGTTTAGGAATAAGAAATGTAAAGTGGCCCGAAGTTAGGCTCTCACCAACCCCGACTACACCGCTCCATCCTTCGGCAGCCTCCAAGGATCCCCAACCCCCCTTCTGCGTATTCGGTTCCCAAATCCAGCAATTGATCCAGTGCATGTGGGCGATTTTTAAAAGTATTGTCCCGTTCTCCCTCTTCTGTAGAGTTTCACCATATCGCACGGCGCCTACAGTTTGAGGGGGGGTGGGGGGGCTGCTTGGGTGCACCTAAAAAAGCTCAGTGCTGCCCGGACCCTCTCGGACACAAATCACATGCGGAGACTCTGTTCCCCGGCGCTTCTCCTCTCCCTCATTCAGACTGCCTGTATGAGGGATATTCAAACGGGGGGAAAAAACTGTCCGACAGCCGTCTGGGAACTCTCTCCCCACGGCTGAACAGCGGCAGGGGTCCCCGAGGCTCTCCCAGAAGGAGAGGTATACCCCGGTTTGGATGCTAAACTCGGTAACACATTGACCAAAGGAGAAAAAACCCCGTCGGTGTGGCCGCCGCGCTCGGATCCAAATGCTTCGGGGTGAATTCGTCCGATCCCCCCTCTTTTTATCACTCCATGGTCCCGTGCGAAGAGGAGCAAGAAAACCAGTGGAGAGGGGGGGGAGAAGCGTCGTAGCGCAGGGGCAGCTCAGCGGTGCAACTGTAACCTGACGAATCCCTGCATTTCTCTTCTTATTTATTACAACCTCCCCTCATACCCTCATACGCGCTGATATAGAATAAAAACCCGGTCGGCGGGGAGCCACGCAGCGGGCGAAGTTATCCGGTCGGCACGGGGGGAAACAAACGCGAGCCTCAGACTGAGTAAATAGCTGAGAAAATGTTCAAAAAGACGGGATTCCTTGATCCTAGTGTCCAATTACCGAGTGCTCAGTTGTTCCGATTGTTAGTCGGTAACATTCCAATCCCGACACGACGGCAGCTGACGTGACGTCCCATCGATGCGCATCGGCTCCGTTGATTGGTCCGTCTGTGGGAACGGAAGAGGCGGGACTTGGGGCAAAGCACCCATTCATAACCGGTGTCCTCCGCATGTGCAAATTATCTAATTGTGAGCCTGTGGAAGTTGTTTGGAGACGAGCCACACAGAGCAAACAGCACTCTCAGTGAAATAGTGAAGTTAGATTCTCACTGTAGCCTCATTCAGGTGTTTGTACGAGCTGGATCTAACGCAGTTATTACTTTGAGTTCATCCATGGTTGCTTTTATTTTGTATATAACACATAGCCTATCCACTTCTTTATTTATCTACTCATTTTGATTTGGATTGTTTTTTAATTTCTCCATAAGGCACTTTGGTAATAATTAGTTGTTTTAACATGCTGCATGTTCTATAAAATACATTTTCAGTATGACTACAAACTGATATTCACTATCCATTTAACCTAAATATGTCCAATTTTTATATTGTAGTCATGAATATTGTAATAAAGACCAAAGCAAATACCTCCCAATAATGTATAGAAAGACACACAATATACTATTAATTTATTTTTTAGCAATATATTGTATATAGCTATTTTTTTTCATTCATTTCATTCATTCATTCCATTTAATTTATATAAAAGCACAGTATACGTTACAATATACACGTTATTCTAAACTCATCTAAACCACCAGATCAGCCCACATCTGTTTTCCTGCAACTAAAATCAAAAGCCACAAAAGTAAGATAAGCCCTATTTGCCTGTAACACGTTGTTACAACGATAAGATATTATTGTTATACGCAGAATCTGCTCAAATTAATGATCTCATCTTTTAATTTGTACAAAAAACACCACAAAATAGTTAAGATATGGAGAGATTTAATAAGAATAAGTTGTTGGAAGTCAACCCCAGACTTAAGTTTTCTCGTATCCACTAACAAACCAAAGTGACACAGCAGAGGCCACCCGCTTGACAAGGAAATTAATAGCAGAGGAGTGGTTCTCGCTGAGTGTCACCATGCCTCATAAGCCCGCATAATCCTCCCCACTGCCATTTGGTGGCACAACACTCGGGCTGGGTGAAGAGGCCATCCTCATTTTTTATCGGCCAATTAGCTTAGAAGAGGGGGGACTAATTAGCAGGGCTGGCTGGGAGACAGGCCAGGATCCTGCGGTTGGCCAGCGCTCATCGTCAGGAATATGCTGGTGATGAAGAGGCCTGGGTGCTGTTCCAGAGGGCTGCTCCTGTCTTCGTGGTTATCATGCTTAATCCAATGCTAAGCAGTCCAAACAGTAAAGTTTTGTTGACTGCAAGAGAAATGTGAATCCTGATTTCTCTGCCTGTGGCTATTTTTTACACCCCATAACAGATCCTGGTAGCCTTATATTTTCTTCGTGCAAGAATCTTAACTCGACATCCTGATGGAAAAGCCACACAACTATTACTACCACTGGATCTCTTTTGAAAATCTTGCTTTTGTTTATGCCTGGGGGACTTTGCTCTTAATTGCTTGCAACTCTAATGGGAATAATGTCTTGTTGCTAAATGACACAAACCAGGACTGCGTTAACCAGAGAAGATGATGTGATCTGAATAGAGTGGTTGTCTTGAAAAATGCTTGTGTCTTTTAAATGTATTGCAGAGTTGTACACATCATTAACAGGTGAGAAGGAGATATGCAGTAGAGCTTTAGCAGAGACTGCAGTATTAACTGCTGCACCATCAAAGGCACAGTATACTGCCAGTTTATCCGCCCGTATCCCAACTGTTTTGGAACATTGTGGAGCTGTGTGGTCTCTGCATGACAGTGGTGAAGACTGGGAGTCATTCCAGTGAGCTTTGCCTCTCTCCACTCCTTCATCCTTCCTTGTGTACACTTCTAATATTTCCACCCCAGAAAAATTCCCCTCTTCAATCACACTTTGGTCTCTCTCCTTCACAGGACTGTAGCAGGTCTGAGATGTGAGTGGCTGAGAAATCCCGGCCAGCTGTGAAACCTTAAAAGCCAGACTGAGCAAGACTCTTATGTAAAACACCCATTTTTAATCCGGCAAATTCAAACTGTTTGGTTTGAAATAGAGAAGAGCATTCTTGTGCTGTAGATTCTCCCTTTTTGCGCAAATTAAATCCTGGTGTCAGCATTTGCCTGAACAGTAAATTGCCCCACTTGTGGTTTAGAAAAATACAGGAAGTGACTAATTCTTACTGGGGAAAATGCTTATGCTATTTCCAAAGAAAGCAAGCCTTTAAAGTGCTAGATCATTAGTTTGTCTTATTACACACTGACATCTTGATGTCATGCTAGATGATGTTTTGGATACCTGTGGTGTTAAATTTCAAAGTCTCCAAACAAATTTAGCATTTAATGTGTAAAGTTAAAGTTGAATAAAAAATAACCAAAGATGATTAAAATTATATCAAAAACCAAGATAAATCGATAAGCTCATGCATTACCATTACATTTGAGTCACAGAGCTAGGAATTTAATTTTCTGAAAAAGAAATACTCACTGAGCAACACCTACTTCTGTTTTAAAGGTATTTACAGATCTCTCAAAGACTCGTCTAACCATCTGGAAGAAAAATTCTGTTGTGCAATTAAAAAAATTAGATTTTGAACAATGGTTTTCCTATTCAAAACAGGGATGGTAGTTATGATAACATGCTAATGTTTTACTTGTGTTTAACAAAAAGAACGAGGACATACCGGTAACTGTTTTTGAGCAGGGACAACATACAGATTTTTTTCTTATCCAGATGGTTAGATGAGTCTTTGAGGATTATACACCTTCAAAACAGGTATTTATTTTTTGGAAAACCAGATGCTCAGCTCTGTGATTCAAATGTAATGTCATGGCTTAGGCTGTGGCTACTTCAGTGCAACAGTAGTAAGTTGTTTTTCTTTTCTATCATCATATACTGTATATAGTTTAATACATCCTCCCGAATGTTTTTGTGTCACTTGGTTTTTTCGAATATTAGTTTCTAAGAAGCAGACAATCTTGTTTCTGACACTCAAGAGGGGCAAACATAATACCTTTCCCATTTTGGATCCTGGATCCAGGCCTCATTTTATTTATTTTGTTATTATTAATAAGGTAGTTTCAACAGATTGAGTCATTCACGGGTAAAAGAAAACTGACACTGCAAAGACACTGCAGAATGGCTGCTTTTGCCTAAGTGCAGATGTCATGAGATACTCAATTTGTATATTTGGCAAATGGATGAATGGGACATATACACTATAGTAGGTTGACCTTGACACTAATTTTCCATTTAAATTAAATAATAAGATCAGATAATGCAATAATTATAATAGTTCTATGTCCTGACTGAGGAGACAAACAAAAAAGTGTATCTAGATTTACCTGCAAACTTACTTTAGTTCACTTAAACTGCGTGTAAATCATTTCCCCTCAGAGATTGCAGGCAGCCATGATAAAGACTTGCAAATTCAGGCCGTGGTAAACAAATACCCATGGCTGGAAGGTAATCTGTGGGTTCAGGGAGTTTCAGGCAAGAGGAAGACAAAACAGCCTTTGAGAGTCTTCAGGCTGCTGCTGATCAGTCACTGATAAACTCCCCTCTGGATGATGTAACAAGCTGAGCTCCTGCAACGACAAAGGGCATATGTGTGTGTGCATGAAGGCCCAAAAATACTGTATCTCAGGGGTGCGGTGTGTGTTTGGGACCATGCACCTGGCTTGTGTATGCACTTGAGACATATATTTATGTCTGGGTTAGACAGATATATTTTGTTGTTGATGTGTGTGTGTGTGGATGTGGTGTGAATACGGGGTAGCAAATCCAATTGAGTTTACTTTTTAAAGGCTTGTGAAGTTCCTACTATAAAACCTGAGAATAGAGTTTCACTGATGTAGTGTGTAATCTTGCCTGCATGGTCTCACAGGGAGTGCGCTCTTCCATTGCAACAATACTGCTTTTATTTGGAAGACAAAGGTTTTACAAAGTATTCATGTCCAATTTTTAGTCTTGTCACCTGTGTTGCTATTCCGCAGTGCTAATGCCTGCAAACTTTGAGAGGTTAAAAGTTGAGAGAGACAGAAATATAAACATATTGTAATGAAATGTTGGTCAAAACACTGGCCGGGCTTCAACCTGAGGCAATGAATTAATTCCATGTAGTTGTCTCCTCTCATAGCTGACAACAGCAAACAGTGCAGTGACAAACAGGCCAGAAGTTTAGCTAAAAGAGCAATGTGACTGATGTAGCCATGGCAAGTGAGTGGGAGTCAATCTGGACTTGGACTTTCTGTTCTCAGACTGCCAGCCTCATGGATTGCTTCAGGCTACTGAATGCTAAATGGTGTAGCCTTGGCTATCCGTTCAAAGTGCTGCTCACTCCGTGTGTGGGATGCCTAGTGATCTCCCCATTCTTTATTTATTTAAAGTGACCTTTCGACTCCCGAGCTGAGATTGCTTTGGGCAAACTGAGCTGGGTTTAAATGTTCGGGGGTGTGGGAGGGAGGCCATCGTTAGTTGCCAGGGCCCTGAGCGAACTGCGCTGAAACTCTACAATTTTAACCCCGGAATTCTACAGGGAAGAGCCGGCTGGCAGGCAGCAGCAAATGAAGCGTTTCAGGTTAGATGTGGTGATAGGTTTTTGTCCTCATTAAAAAAGAAATCCCTGCCACTGCTTCCTCATTTGTAATCCACCACTATTCATTCGAGGTGGATTTTGATATGGGGGATTTGGATGGTGTAAGGCCACTGAAGCCAAGAGGAAAAGGAATGCATCTCGTAGTTTCGTCTTACGCAAAGCCCTGAAAGAGTAACTTTACATACTTTATCCTCACTTACTTTCAAACTTATTAAAGACAAAACCTTTGTCTTGGCTGAGCAAAATGCTGGCATTCCTGCTTATGAAAAGGTGTACAGTACATCCTGTGAAACACCTATTCCTAAGCACACTTGCGGCTGAACGTGCCAATCACTTGAAGCATCAGCCCCACTTCAGGGAGC